GGCTCCCTGCTCCGTAGGAAGCCTGCTTCTCCCTCTCCCACTCCCCCTGCTTGTGTTCCTGCTCTCGCTGTGTCTCTCTCTGTCAAATAAATAAATAAAATCTTAAAAAAAAAAAAGAGGGAGATCTGTGTCTCTGTTCAAATTACTTGCTACCACTTGCTAGCAGTGACCTTGGTCAATTATAGAGCTCTCTGAGGCTTGATATTATCATCTGTAAAATGGGGACAATAGCAATATCCACCCCATTAGGATGTTTTGAGCAATTAAATGACATAACACACCTAAAGCACTTATAGTGCCTGGCTCATAAGGGTTCAACCACGCTATCAGTAGTAGGTTTACAGTAAATGTTATTGAACTGATTCCCTAGGACTTAGCATAAGTCTATTAATTTGCATGTAACTTTAGGCAAGGCACTTTACCTCTTGGAGTCTCTATTTTTAAAAGGTTTATCTGAAAACTGGAAATTATAATACCTGCACAGTTACCTTAACAGGATTATAATGGAAATGGAGAAGATTGCTTTCTCATTAATTATATAAAAATAACTTAACTCCAGTAAATTATCTAAGCAAAAACATCAGAGAAAAATAAAAGCTACTGTGTTATTATATTATTTTTAGTTCATAAAGAGCACCTATAAAACTCTACAGCTAACCTTACAGTTCTAGTCTGCATGCTTTTCCCTTAGGATCAGGAACAGGCAAGGATATCTGCTCTCACTGCTCTTATTCAATATAGTACTGGAAGTTCTAGCCAGTGCAATAAATCAAGAAAAGCAAATAAAAGGTGTACACATTAGAACTGAGGAAATCAAACTATCCTTATTTGCAGATGACATAATTGCCTATGTAGAAAATCTCAAGGAATCAGAGATGTTGCAGGATATAAGATACACGTGCAAAAATCAATCACAGTTCTATATACTAACAATGTGGAAACAGAAATTTAAAAAAATACCATTTATAATTACTTTAAAGAGAATGAAATCCTTAGGTATAAAAGTAACAAAATATGCCTATGAACGGTGTCCTAAAAATTACAAATGCTGATGAAATGAAATGCTGATCTAAGTAAGTGGAGGGGCACCTGGATGGCTCAGTTCGTTGAGTGTCCGACTTTTTTTTTTTTTTTTAAAGATTTATTTATCTGACAGAGAGAGACACAGCGAGAAAGGGAACACAAGCAGGGGGAGTGGGAGAGGGAGAAGCAGACTCCCTGCTCAGCAGGGAGCCCGATGCAGGACTTGATCCCAGGACCCTGGGATCATGACCTGAGCCGAAGGCATACGCTTAACCGACTGAGCCACCCAGGCACCCCTGAGTGTCTGACTCTTGATTTCAGCTCAGGTCATGATCTCAGGGTCATGAGGTCAACTGCATTAGGCTCTGTGCTGGGCTTGGAGCCTGATTAAGATTCTCTCTCTCCCTCTCCCTCTGCCCCCAACCCCGCTCATGCGCACACACTCTCTCAAAAAAAAAAAAAAAAAATTAACTCAAAATGGATCATGGACTTAAATGTAAAACTAAAACTTTTAGGAAAAAAATTTAGGTTAGAATTATAGAGCTCTATGGCTAATCAGAGTTCTTAGTTAGACTTGACACCAAAAGCATGATGCATAAAAGGAAAAAAATGATACATTGGACCTCATCAAATTAAAACTTTTTGCTCTGTGGTAAAGCACCCTGTAAGAAGATGAAAAGACAAGCAGTGGACTGGGAGAAAGTATTTGCAAGCCCCATATTTGTCAAAGGACTTACATAAAGAATTTTCAAAACTCGACAGTAAAAAAATAATCCAGTTAGAAAATAGGCAAAGACATGAACAGACATTTTAGCAAAGAGGATATACAGATGGCAAATCAGCACTAGAAAAGATGTTCAACATCATTAGCCATTAGAGAAATGCAAATGAAAACGGCAACAAGAGCTCACTACATGCCTCCCAGGCTGGCTAAAATAAAAAACAGTGGTAACAGAGAATGCTGGTGGGATGTGGAGAAACTCACACGTTTCTGATGGGAATGTAAAATGGTGCAGCCCCCTGAAACAGTTTGGCAGTTTCTTACATAACTAAACAAGTGCTTACCATATGGCATTCTTAGACATTTAACCCAGAGAAACAAAAACTTATGTTCATCCAGAAACCTGTACACAGTCTTTCATAGCAGCCTTATTTGTAATAGCTCCAAGCTGGAATCAGTCAAAATGTCCTTCGGCGGCTGAATGGTTAACAGCGGCACATTCACACCATGGAATACAACTTATAATAAAGAAGGAACTATTGGTACACGGAATAGCTTAGACGAATCTCGGAGAATTATGCTGAGTGGAAAAAAAGCCAATCTCAAAAGGTTTCATGCTTAAAATGTACGAAGTTATAGAAATAGGAAATAGATTAGCAGTTGCCAGGGACTGGGGAGGGAGAGAAATGGTTATGGCTCTAAAAGGGTAGCATCAACGTGGATGCAACTGGAGGGTATTATGTTGAGCGATATAAGTCAATCAGAGAAAGACATGTATCATATGACCTCACTGATGTGAGAAATTCTTAATCTCAGGAAACAAACTGAGGGTTGCTGGAGTGGTGGGAGTGGGAGGGATGGGGTGGCTGGGTGATAGACATTGGGGAGGGTATGTGCTCTGGTGAGCGCTGTGAATTGTGTAAGACTGTTGAATCACAGACCTGTACCTCTGAAACAAATAATACATTATATGTTAAAAAAAAAAAAAGAAGATAATAGGAAGGGAGAAATGAAGGGGGGAACTTCAGTGGGGGAGACGAACCATGAGAGACTATGGACTCTGAGAAACAAACTGAGGGTTCTAGAGGGGAGGGGTGTGGGGGGTTGGGTTAGCCTGGTGATGGGTATTAAGGAGGGCACGTACTGCATGGAGCACTGGGTGTTATATGCAAACAATGAATCATGGAACACTGCATCAAAAACTAATGATGTAATGTATGGTGATTAACATAACATAATAAAAAAAATAAAAAATCAAAGGGTAGCATCCTTGTGACGGAACTGTTCTGTATTCGGGCTGTAGTGGTGGTCACATGAATCTGTGCATGTGACAAAATGTGATAGAACTGAGTACACACACAAATGAGCTCATGTAAAATTGGTGAAACTGAAGGAGGTGGAAGCAGTTATCAGTGTCAGTTTCCTGGTTGTGATATTACAGTTGTGCAAGATGTTACCTGGGGGGAAAGTGTGTGAAGGTATACGGGATCTCTCTCTCTGTTCTTTTGTTCAATTGCATTTGGATGTACAATTATTTCCAAATAAAAATTTTAAAAAATACAGAGAAAGATGAAAGAAATATTAGCTTATTTATAATGATCTTTTTTGTTATTCTATAATTGTTATCAGGACACTTCTTGTCCAAGTGACCCATCTATACTACAGTTCTGTCTCTGGCACCCCAGCTCATCCCTGATGGTTTCACCACCTTTCTGGGTGCATTCCAAGTTTCAAAAAGGCATCAGGATTGGGCCACGTTTGCTTCTCCAGCCTCAACTTGCCACCTCTTGACACTCATCTGACACTCCTGCAACACTGAACTGTGGAAAATTCTCTGCACACTCCATTTTTACTCTGTGTTACCCTTTCTGCTGTTCATGGTCCTTGGAATGTCCTACCTCCCATCTAACTCCGTCTTTCCTTCTCCGTTCAACACAGGAGTCACCTCCTTCATGAAGCCTTTCTGATTTGTTTTTTTATCACTGCGCTTGCTATACTGTTTTAAAATTATAACCTTAACTCCCCATAGTTTGAATCAGGCTTGGTTTGGTGTTGCGTTTTGCAAAAGCATCACAGCTAAAGCCTGACCTGCAGAAATAATTTTGTAACAATCTATGTCATTATTGCCATTTCCCAAGAAACTCCAAAGGGGATTCTATTCATAATACAGAGCCAAGCTTTAAGGTTTTTATTTATTCATTTGAGACAGAGAGATACAGAGAGAGAGAGAGCATGAGCAGGGGGAGAGGCAGAGAGGGAGGGAGAAGCAGACTCCCTGCTGAGCTGGGAGCCCGAAGACAACGACGCGGGGCTCGATCCCAGGACCCGGAGATTATGACCTGAGCTGAAGGCAGATGCTTAACAATCTGAGCCACCCAGGCGTCCTGCAGAGCCAAACTTTAAGAACCAACCCAACCACTCTCTCCCTCTTTATCTTCCATTGCCCTGCTTGTTGGCTGCCTCTGATCTCTCCCTCTCTGCTCACCTCCCCTAAGACTCTACACTCAGTTTGCTGCCTCAAGCCTTTTCTTCTTTCTTGCCTCTGGATTAACTACTTTCTTTTCTGCTAGTGGCTCTTAGCCCATTCTGATGTAAATCTTTCAAGATTGTCATTTGCCAGCAAATCCTAGGTTACTAGGGTTACCATAACAAAATCCACGGACTGGGCAGCTTAAACAACAGAATTTTATTTCCTCACAGTTCTGGAGGCTAAGAGTCCAAGATCAGGTGTCAGCAGGTTTGGTTTCTCCTGAGGCCTCTCTCCTTGGCCCACCTTCTCACTGTGTCCTCACATGGTCTTTCTTCTGTGTGCATGCATCTTTGTGTTTCTTTTGTGTCCAAATTTCTTCTTCTTAGAAGGACCCCGGTCAGATTGGATTAAGGTCCACACATATGACCCCTTTTAACTTGATACCTTTTTATAGGCCCCACCTTCAAATACAGACATGTGGAGGGAGTTAGGGCTTTAATACATGAATTTTGGGGAAACAATTCAGTCCATCATACTGGGTAACTCTGGTCCACCCAGGAAAGGTGGGGGAATCCAAGCTAACAAAGATAATATTCCTCCTATTGGCCAGACTGGGGCATAGGGGACAATCAATGAAAGTTGGAGGTGCTCCATCTCTCTCCTCCACAAAATTAGGGAATATCTTTTTCTACTCAATTTTAAGTCAAACATTTTAAATCTATAGATTTTGGTGTTTCAGTAGCATGACAGGGAACAGCCCTCCCCGCCTGTGCTCATTTCTGGTGAGATCATCCAAAACCCTTTACCAAGGGTGTGAAAATTAATGAAAGGACCGCTCATTTTAGAATAGAGTTGGAGGCCAGCAGGGGGCGCTCCTAGGCCCTACCACTTGTCAACTGCAGACCCAACAGGAAGAGCCAGACCTTGCAGTGAACACTACTTCATTATCCCTTGAGGAGGAGAGACTTTCTTCCTCCCTCGGCAACAGCCCAGCCAATGAGAGAGAGTCACAGCTCAGCCAATGAAAAGTCACTATCCTTTAAACTCCCAGTTTAGTCCAATGGGCTTTTTGTTTATAACAGCCCTCCCAACTGCCCTCTTCTCTTTTGGTCTGTGTGCTTGCCTATAGTTTTGCGGTAGCGTGCTTGTCCTTGATCGCGGTTCCCGGCCATTCAAGATAAAACCGCGGTTTGCTGGTAAAATAACGGCCGTTTTATTTTTTAAGGTTAGCAAGGGCATATGGTAGGGTGCTAATGCTGCATGTCAACAAGAAGAGCCAGAACAGGGAGCCTTGTGGTGCCTCTGAGTGAGCGGCAGGACCGCTGTGTTGTCTTTTTCTAGCTGGATGTTAAGTAGCTGTCCTTTTCTTCACGTTGGCGCTTTTGCCCTGGAAGCACAGTTTGATTTGTATCCAGGGAGCTACTTTACCAATAAATACAGGCATTACTCTATATGTATTCACTCTTTCTACATCCCTTTCCACGTTAGAATGGAACCTTTTCACAACATAGCTTTTAAAATAGGAATATAACAAGGAGGATTTTCATTTTCTTTTTTATTTTAGGTAGGCTCCCAATGTGGGGCTTGAACTCACGACCCAGAGATCAAGACCTGAGCTGAGATCAAGAGTTGGACACTGACTGAGCCATCCAGGCGCCCCTAGTTTCTTTTTTAAACAGATTATCCAGAATAGTTTTATTAGTCTGGTAACCTCCTAGCTGGGCGTCTTATATTCTTTATTCTGATTATACTGAAATGAAACTCGGTGTTCTGGTACTTCATATACTTTTTAATAGGCTCCTCATGGGTGGAGCAAATACCAAGGCTGGAGTCTTAAGCGAGCGTCTCCTTTCTGCTCAGGCTTCGATCGGCACATCCTGAAAGGTCTCAGCCTGAAAATCAGGTGGAAACGCGAGGAGGAGCTGCAGGGCCAGCCGGTCATGGTGGGAAAGGGGCAGGACAGCGCTCAGGCGTGGGTTCCCAGTCTGGTGGAGGAGTCCTGAGGTAAGTTTCAGGTGTTGTCCTGACCCTCCCCAGGGGCTCACGGTCTGGCCACACACCATGTAGAATTCCAGCTGAAATCTGAGCCAGCTAAGGTTGAAATGTGAGAAAATTGCAATCCTCTCAAGAGTGTGGTTCCTGGGAAGCAGTTAGAAATGCAGATTCTCACTTCCCACTGGACTCATTGAATCAGAAACTCTGGGGACCTGGCCCAGCAACCCATGTTTTACTAAGCCCTCCAGAAGCTTCTGATGCACAGTGAAGGTTGAGACCCGTGCTCCGTTTCTGTCACCATCTATGCCAAGAGGCCGCCAAACAGGCCCAAGTGCTGTTTAACTTTTCTAAACCAAACTGACCTAACAGCTGTCTCCTGGGTTCCAGCCCAGGTTGACAAGATTTGAGTTTCTCAGGGGTAGGAGGAAAGGACTGATCTATATCTTTAACTAGCGTCCCAGGTACTTCTTGTTCTGAGGGAGGTTTGGAAGCCCTTAGTATACAACTGACGTCACTGTAGTGATCTGCTCGTCAGCTGCTGGGGTGAAAGTCTTCCTGCAAGCTTTCCATTCAGGAAAGGGAAGAGAAGTAACATTTACTGAGCAAGGACATTTCGCATACATTACTTCCTATTGATGTTTATAACAACCCTGTGAGTTAAGGTTTGTGCTCAGAAAATCTAAGTCTTTACCCTAGGCTACTCAGTAAGAAGCAGGGCTGGGATTTGTCCCCAAGGTGGCTCTGTTACCTACCTCTAACACCCTTCTGTGTGACCACCAGCACGGCCAGCTCAACTTTTCTCTGACATGCCAAAGGCTTGCAGGACCTTCTTTTTTCTCTTCTCTTTTTCCCCCTTTTAATGAAATAGAATCCTCTGTTCCACAAATACTTAGGGGTCCCCTACTATGTTCAATGTACTGTGTTGTACACAAGTGTATACAGTGTTTAAATGCAATTCAAGAAGCTCTCAGACAACAGAAGGCACTTGAAAGGCAGTGAATTTGGTGGCTGGGAATGCAGCAGGGTCAGGATGACTTTGGGATTGAGTGCTAGTCCTGCTCCTTACTAGCTGTGTGAAGTTGGCAGTTTTTTTTTTTTTTTTAACTTAGTTTCCTCATTTGTGCAAAAAGGACATAGCAATGCCTCTCTCATAGTGGGCAAACCCTTGATAAAGGGCCTGGCACAGGTGGAGGGCCCAGTAGAGGACTGTTATTTGAAACTTACTAGGGTCACCTGGGTGGCTTAGTCAGTTAAGCACCAGACTCTTGGTATCGACTCAGGTCTTGATCTCAGGGTTGTGAGTTCAAGCCCCGTACTGGGTTTGGAGCCTACTTAAAAAAAAAAGTTGTCTGAAACTGTTAGAATGAAACTGTTACTGTCTTTAGTTTATTATTGTTGCCAGCTATAGTAGATGCCCTAGCAAATTGGCCTCCACATTTCATAAGAGTTGATATTTATTTTATAAAGTGACAATAGTTTGGTTAAATAGTACTAAAAAAAAAATTCTACTAAATGTCATGTTCCTATAATCATTCCCTAGGGTCCCCCCCAATCACCCCTGCCTGCAGAACCCCAATCCTCCTCTCCCCAAATCCATGGTCTTCTTCCTCCTTTGGGAGAATATTTTAAGGTACTGAGCTATGTACTGAGTATATAGTGGTTAAAGGAGATGTGAAAAATGAATGAAAATTAGCCTGTCCTTACTCAAGTGGCCACTCCAGCCTGGTGGTAATCTTTGGACATCTTTCCATTTGTATGTTGCCTTACATTCTTTTCTCCTATGCAATGCTTGGTATATGGTTCACATTGGTCTCCAGTAAATGTTGCCAAAGCCACATGGGACCAATGTGCATAATTGGCAAAGATTTGAGAGGTTTTTGATTAAAGGGGCAACTTACACCCTTGGAAGGGATCTTGGTGGAGATGGTTGTTGGTTACCTCTTCCCAGTGCAGCAATCCTTACACTCACAGGCCTGGATGGTTCTAGAACAGCCTTATAGAAAAGGATATTTATATGTCTCTGTGGGTCTGTTTTTTTTTTTTTTGCCAGGAAAACAGGGGGACTGTGACTAACACAAGCCCATAGGTTTAGGGTCCCATGGAAGGTTCTAGAAGGAAAAAAAATGTGATAAAAGTAGTCTTGGTGATCTACAGTTTCACTTAAGTAACACTAAAATAAATTACATAATTTTATTTGAAAATTTTAATCTGTTTCTGTTCGTGTGAACTGTTAAGATATACTAATATAAAAAGAGAAAAATCACAGGTGACTCTTGCAGGTCTGTACAAATAGCCTAGCCCTGGTCATCCATGTGAGCTCTGTTTCATTTCTTGCTGGCTTACACTATTTATTTTGAAGAGAAGATTGAAGGAGAGGGGACACAAAGTTAAGACAATAGTGGAGTATAAACAATTTGACAGCATGAATCAAAAGTCACAAAAATGTCCATACTCTAATATAAAAATTCAATTTGGAGTTAACCTAAGAAGTTAATTTAGAAAATGAAAAAAAAAAAAAAAGCCACATACACGGTATTCATTGCTATGTCATTGGTAGGGGTCAAAATTTGGAAGCAATCTTGATGCCCTGTAATAAGGATAAATGTTTAAATTTCTATTCAACAAAACATTGTGTACCTTTAAAAAGAATGATTATGAAGATTATGTGGCAATGTAGAAAATACTTAAAATGTCATGCCTTGAGGGAAGTGAGCTGGAAATTACACCACCCAAATGAAAAAGATGGAAAGGAAGTATATCAAATGATAGCAGCTGTGTTTGGGTAATGGCATGATGGTAGTTATTTTCTCTTTTTCGCTCATGATTATTTTAATCAGTTTCCAATTTTATAAATTGGAAAGCCAATTAAAAATACCCAAATTAAAGAGCCAATAGTTAAAGCCAGAAAGAATGAAGTAGGGTTACTTTAAAGTTGGCTGTTCTTCACAGAGCTTCATGAGGGATTTCACATGGGATAAAATTGCCAACAGTTATTGCAATTTGCGGGGGGGGGCGCGGGGGGATGCATTTATTCCGAGAGTTGTTGGGGGTGGTTGGAAAGACAGTGTGGTGGGATAATAGCAACAGAAACTAGACCCTCCCACCCCCAGCTGCCAGTAATTCAACCTAGGTCTTCAAGAAGCAATTTCTGCCCATTCAAAGTGCAGCTCATCCCTGGAGACCACCTTGGGCAGACCATTGTGATGGTGATGGCGGGGATGTGGGCCTGCCTCCGCAACAGCTCCCAGAGGGTCAGGCGTTTGATGGAGGGCCTGGGCAGCTGTCTCAGCTTGGGGTTGCTGGTCATCAGAGACGAGGCAGCATGTGCAATGTTGACCCGGAGGTGAACAGTCCCCTTTCTCAGACCCACTCCCCGGAGGCAACAGTCCCTCATTAGGGTACAGTTTCTAATCCAAACAACCATTAATCTTTCTCAGGGTTAAAAGGCCAGGAAAGCAAGTTTTGCTCTCTATTTTGATACTGTACTTGTCTGTATTTTACAAGAGCAGACTTACTTCACTGACCACTGGAAAATACCCCACAGCTGTGTCCACAGCTATGCAAAAATGCCAAGCCCAGCACAGGCCTCCTGGTGCATGGGGAAGGGAGACGAGTGCAAAACGAATAGGCTGTTTATTGTGGCACTTGACAAAAATCATAAACATGATGTACTTGAAACAAATTAGTATTCTGTATCATAAAACAAGTTAGGGATGCTCATGTATTTTGAATGAAAATTCACCAAATATGATAGTTTTGTGAAAGTGATATTATACAAACTTTTGAATACAATTCTTTTAATTTTTCTTGCCTTAGCAAGTAAATTAATCCATACACATGGAGCTATAACCCCTGAAAACTTTTTGGTCTTTTAAAGGTAATCAATAAAAAATAGGATTTGATTTAGAAAAATGCACTTGTTGTCTCGGAAATATCGAAGTGTTTGGTTTACAGAAATGGGCTGAATTTCTTATCTCACATTCTTTTAACAGCTGGTAAGTCAAGAAATACATCTTTTCCATATTCTCAAATTGTAAGGACCAACATGATGGGTATTAAGATAAAAAACATGAAGCCTTCCTAAATCTGTTTCTTCATGCCTGACCTTTAAATCCTTCTCTACAGAGTCATCATCAGTATGAATACCAAACACTCCTCCTGGTGAGTCACATTTAGACATCTGGCTACTGGTAGTAAAGGCATTGAACATTTAAGAGAGATCGAGAATGCATTTTTATGTCTCGGATTATTTTACATTACATTTCCCAAACTCAAAATCACACATTAAGGACTATGGAATACATAAAATCTAGGCATAGCATTTTCAAAGTGGAAGAGGCCTTGGTTGAATACAGTAAAGCCCAAGAAAGACCAAGGGACTGGAGTGGAGCCCGCGGCCCTTGATCCCTAATCTAATGCCGTTCTAATGATGCTACATTACCTTGTAGAATGTCTAGAATTTACCTGGACTTTTTTGGGAGGGTGGGTTGATGGGGAGACACATACATGTTTTTGCTGTGCCAAATGTATTTTGAGACATTAACAACTTTTACTTAAGTTTCCTGAAGGATCTCAGATTGGCAGAGAGTTTAGCTGTACGCTCAATCACACAGCTTCTGCTTTCAAAACCCATGATACTCTTGAAACGCTGGAGGGAATTTTAGCTAGATGTGGTCTGCAAGATACAAATGAGATTCTTTTGGTACTGTCCTAAGCTTGCCTTTTGGGTACTTGGTATAAATGATTTGAATGTTCTGTAGGAATTAAAACTACACCCTAATGATATCATTTCCATGTCAAAAATATATTCATGCATATAATAAAAAACATAAACCACATTTTTAATAGTGGCTATCTTCTGGATGGTGCAATATTTGAAATATATGAAAATATACAAATATTTTGTGTTTATCTTTGTATTACCAGTTTTTGGTACTGACCATATTTTATGTTTATAGTTAGAGAAACCTCTATAAACATTATCTCGATGTTATTTAAAAGATCTCAAGGAAATGAAGACCTTGATACAGATAAAGTGGGCTTGGCCAGGTTGAAGGCAAGTAATGCACTTCTCTTCCGTTTTTTAAAATCCTGATGTAATTATATATACATTACTTATTTGATTAAAACTTTAATTCAGTTTAAAACATGAATAAATCCACAAGTACACTGACATCCAGACTGCCAAAGCTGGAGCAGGCAAAAAAACATCAGTGTGGTAACCTTTATGAGGAGAAATGAGCTGTAGTTTTTGCAGGCTGGGGATAACAGAGAGGCAGATGATCATGCTACTTAGATTCTACTTGCAAGGCTGAAGTCTATAAACTACAACACTGCTTGCTTTTGAGTTAATTTATTTTGAGCACTGAACACATCTTTCCAAAGAGGGAATTACCATGTAGGATGTTAGTGTTTTTCTCAAAGGAACTATTTACCTGAGGATCAGTCTCTAATATTTTACCTCTTTGGGTCTGTTTTAATCTTTAAATATTAGTTATTAGTACTTTCATAAACTAAGATGAATCTGACCTAAAACAATAAAGTGGTATTTTTCTCTGTTCTCTGGCCCCTTTATTTTATTTTTTTTGGCCCTTTTAAAATCAGAAAATATGTGCTTGTAACAAATCCAAACAATACAGATGTTTATGAAATAAAAATGGGAAGTATAAAATATAGTGAAATACTTTCTCTTAATTCTCTATACCCCAAAGTCCTTTTCTCCAGTGATAACTTTTATTTTTTTTCAAATATTTTTTATTAATTTATCTGACACGGAACAAGAGAGAGAGAGAGACAGAGAGCAAGCACAAGCAGGGGGAACGGCAGGCAGGGGAGAAGCAGGCTCCCTCCTGAGCAGGGAGCCCGATGTGGGGCTCGATCCCAGGACCCTGGGATC